AGTTGTCCCCAAAGTATTTGTGTAGGTTGAAATATTACCGTGTTCGTGAAATGGTTTGCTTGGGGACAAGCAAACGTCTAAGTGTGGGGGAGTGATTCAGGCCTAATTGCACATGTTTGGCCCCCGTTTTACTTAGATGTTTGTGCCAAATTCGCTCCTAAAAGGTTGGTTTTACACTAGATTCTTTGTTTTTTAGTGTGTTTCATGATTTAACAGGTGAAACCAGCCTCGGAGTCGAAAGATTGGCGTAAAGGATCGAAAACCGGGAGAAGAAGTGAAAAAGAGCTAGTTCACGGCTAATTGAGGGAGTTCACAGTCATGCAAGACCGTGAAGAAGAGGAGTTGATCGTGAATCGCGAGGCGTCCAGAGCCAAAGTGAAGGTTACTGACGCGAGGTGAGTTCACGGTCACTAAGACCTTGAACAAAGGCAGTTGACCGTGAACAGACGTGAACGATGCGGCGCGTTTTGGCGCACGCCTGGAGTTCACCGACGCGTTTCATGGTTCATTGCTGTTAATTTAGGCCGTGCACTCATCTCATCTCGGGTTTAAAAGATGAGGTGAAAGGAGGAGAGAGAGAGCTCACTTTTGTGTGAAACACCTTCTTCAGCATTCTAGTGAGAGAAACAGAACCAAAGAGAAGAAGAAGGTTAGGGTTTGGCTTCAAGGCAGATTTTAGGAAGATTTCCTCCAAGGAAAGCTCAACTCAAGGGCCAAGAAGACTGGGAGCATCCTTAAAGATGGTTTCCACCTTTTTCCTTTTAATTTTCCCACTTCTAGCAAGGAGTAGACCTCCTTTCACTTTGGTGTAGTGAAAACCTAACTCTACCATGTAGTTTTCTTTTATGTGTTTTGGATGATTGTCATTGGGTATTGTTCAATTCAATGATTGAGGCATTATTTATCATGATTGTGCATACTTGTGCTTAGCAATCTAGGGGTTGTGCATGTTTTGTGCTTAGCATCCTTAGGTTTGTGCATTTAGGTGCTTAGCAACCTAAGGATTGTGCATAATTGTGCTTAGCACCCCTAGGTTTGTGCATTTAGGTGCTAGTAATTTAATTTGCCACCTTAGCGTAGCTTAGAGAGGAAAATCCCCCTTTCAAGGGAGACTCAATTGAGTTGATTTTCCTTTCGCTCTCTAAGCCACCTAAACTAGGTTAAATTAGGGAGACCCTCAATATTTAGTTAAGCAAGTCGATTAATCGTGATCAAAATGTCCGACCTTAGAGTTGAGTGAGGGAGTAAGTCAATTACCGATTGTCTAAACCGAGAGGGTGGAGTGACACGGCCTTTCATCCTTACCTCGGTTTAGCAATTGAGATTGTGGTCTCCAACCACATATGCATTCCTCTGCGGTTCGCGATTAACGTGCCCAAGATAATCGTTCCAATCCAAATAGCATGGTAGCGGTTAGGGTGAAGCGACACCCGAGTGACTTTCCCACCAAAGAGTTTTCAAACCAAATTACCTTTGCTTTCTTTCATTTCAATTAGCAAACCTTTAAACCAAAGTTTTGTCGCTAGATAATGATTTCAACAACCGAAGTAGGGGTAGACGGACCGGCCCAGGTCGATATCTAAATACTTGCCCGATTAGAGTTTAAAAACTTGGGCTCTAATTGGGGTTTTATTGTGGTGTAGTTTCGTGCGAGTCAGTAGGGCACTCGGCGTTACTGGAGGTGTAGTATCAATCACAATAGACTTTTTTTAATCGACCTTATCCACCACATCTTCCTGCACTACCAGGTCCTTCTCCACCATACCCAACGTTGAAACCTGAGGTTTTTTCACTCTCTAGACCCATTTAGTTTGCACCCCTGCAGGAGGTAAAGAGCAATCATGCCCAAACACCTTGCATTTGTCACAACATCTGTGCAATCCACAGTACTCCACCCCAACAAAGATATCATCCATTCCATTAGGGGTTACACTAATTCTATCAACTCTAGCCTTCTTCGCACTGACTTCAACACAAATCTTCGCTCGTCCCACCCGCTCCCTATGTGTAGTCGAGTGATCTATACACAAAGGCTTACCCACTATACTAGCAAAGGTGTTAGCTAATTGACTAAATGGTATTTTGGATGGGATAATGTGTCAACCCAGAGTGCATTTGTACCAGAGAGGTTGATTACGAACAATGTGATAATTGCTTTCAAATGCTTTCATTCAATGAAAGCTAGGAAGCGATGAGAGAAAGGATATATAACTGCAAAGCTTGACATTACTAAAGCCTGTGATAGGATGAAGTGGGAGTTCCTAGAGGCTATCTTGAGAAGACTAGGATTTGCGGACAGATGGGTCTTGAGAGGGCTGGGATTTGTAGAGAGATGGGTTTGTTTTGATGATGACTTGTGTATGTACAGTGTCATTCTCGACACTAGTGAATGGACACCAAACAAAAAGGTTCTATCCAAGCAGGGGATTACGACAAGGAGACCACATTTCTCCGAATAAAAAGGTTCTATCCTAGCAGGGGATCTTTCTATTTGTGGTGGAGGGTTTATCAGCCTTGATTACCAAGGTAGAGCAAGAAGGGAGGATAAAAGGAATTAAAGTCAAACATAATGCCTCTTTTATATCACATGTTCTTTTCGCAGTGACAACATCATTTTTGCCCAAGCCACAAAGAAGGAGTGTACATAACTTACAAGAATACTATGTTTATATGAGACTAAATCCGGTCAATAGGTAAATCTAGTTAAATCTGAGGTATCCTTCAACCTTAACATTAATCTAAATCGGACAAGATAGCTAGCTAGTGTTATGAGTATGAAGTGTGTGGAGTATCACGAAAAATATCTAGGACTCCCTACTAATGTGGGTTGACCTAAAAAGCAAGTCTTTCGCCACCTTGTGGATAGAGTTAGCAAGAAAGTGAAGGTCTGAAAAGTGAAGCTACTCTCTGTAGCGAGAAAGGAGGTGCTTATAAAGTCAGTTGCACAAGCACATATGAATTTTTCCAGGTCTATGTTTCTAACACCTGTTGAAATTCTAATTCTAAAGGAAGTTAATAGTGTGGTAGCCAATTACTGGCGGGGTCAGCAACAAGATGGAAAAAAGACTCACTGGTTGAATTGGGAGGCATTATGCATGTCAAAGAAGGTTGGTGGATTAGGGTTTTGAGAGTTGCATAATTTTAACATAGCTTTACGAGGCAAGCAACTCTGGCGACTACTTTAGCATCCCGAATCCTTGGTTCCAATGATAGTGAAAGCAAAATACTACCAGGATCGGGAAGTACCGGAGGTAGACATGGGCTACAACCCCAACTATGTATGGAAATGTCTAATGGTAGCTAAAGACCTAGTGACGATCGAAATGAAATGGAGGGTGAGAGTTGGATAACAAAAATGATAAATGGTTTGATAAATGGGTTCCAACTGAAAAGGAACATTGAATTACTTCTCCTGCATCTGGACTGGGGGAGTCAGCCTCGGTGGCGGAATTAATGTATATGGAAACAAGATCATGGAAGTATGATGTGTTACATGCTCACTTTAACCCATTAGATTGGGTAAATATTTTGAGAATATCTATTCCTAGGCAGCCGACGGAGGATTCAAGTGTCTGGAGTTTGGAAAAATCAGGGCAATACTCTGTAAATTAAGCTTATAGACTATGTCGAAGCAAAAATGAGGCACTATAAGGAGAGATCTACTTGTCGGTGGATTATGAGACACTTTGGGGATTGAAAATCCTTCCAAACGTAAAACATTTTGCCTAGAAGTGGCTACACAACATCCTACCTACAAGTGCAAAGATCCTAGCAAAGAACTCAAAAGGTAGTGATGGTTGTCCTTTATGTGTTTTACATGTAATCCAGGAACACATCCTAAGGGAGTGTGGCTGGGTTCGTCCTATTTGGAGACCCAGCCCTTTGCATGCACAATTAGAGAAAGGGGAGTCACTTACCTCAGAGGAGTGGTTTTGTGAGCTCCAAGGAATAGAGTCGGATGAGATTCTCAATTGCTTCTATGTCTCTCTCTGGTTCATCTTGGATGAGAGAAATTGTCAGCTCTAGAACAAGAAGAAGATGGAGAAGTGGGAAATCATGGGTCGGGCGAGTGATTGGTTGGAGGAGTTCCTGAATACTCATATTCGACTGATGAAGGCGTCGATGCAATTGAATAGCCACTGAAAATCGTCGAATCAGGTGGAGATTAAAAAATGTCAATGCAGAGTTCTTCAAGGATCGGGGGGTACGAGCCGAGGGATGGAGATCAGAGGTAGAACGAGACAATTTATGATTGCGAAAGTGAAGAGGTCCCGAATCTAGTGGGAACCCAAGACGGTGAAGGTGATGTTGATGAAATATGGCTTGGGAATCGTCCGGCGGTTCCATATTTTAGAAGGAAAAATGAAGAGTGATTGTCAATCAATCGTCCAGAGCTTAACTAAGAAGGAAGAAGTGGGCCTTGATATCGGCCTGTATGTGACGAATTGAGGAGCCACGCCCAAAAATTTGAGAGACTATTTTGGAGCTATACGGGTCGGGAAGTAAATAAACCAACCTATGTGATGGCCCATATAGAATGCAGATGAGACGAAGAATAAGTTTAGGTGCATAGATCACTAGGTTTTTTTGTCCCTCTATCTATTTAGAGGAGATTGTCCAAACATTTCTCATGATTGAATAAAAGCGTGCATATTTATTTATAAAAAATTATAGGAACATGAAAATAATTAGCTCAATCAAAATGATTGTATAATTGGAAAAAAAATCATAACATACCGTTTGAAATAAAATAATAATTAAAGTATAATTTTGAGAAATCCATTTAAAAAAGAAATTTTTGCTATTTGGAAAGTAACATAATTTATTTACTTTACCAAAAAATATTTCCTATTGTACATTTTAGATTCTGCAAACTGATCCTTGTTATGACAAATATTGATATTTCCTATATTTACTAATTCCCTAATCAATGAAAACAACCATGTTAAACTTTACGCGTTTATAAATATCGTCTTCTTCTGGCCAAAGAGAAAGGGGGAAAATCTGGCCCGACCGGATCCGCAACCCCGGAAAACGGATTACACGCGCCACCGCCGTTCGCGGTCCTGAAATCCAAACTCCATTGGTATGGTCCGTGCATCCATCGAATCGGGTCGCTAATTCAACGTCAAGAAGAAAATGAAAGAAGGAGAGAGCCAAACCTAAAATCTGTCCGTCTCTCTCTCTAGTCTCTCCTCACTCGGTCACTTCACTTCCATTCCCCGCCATCATTCTCAGACCAACTTAGACGGAAAATTCCAGTTTTCCCTCTTCCAACCCTCGTCGTCGGCAAGTTCAAATCAGTCGCCTTCTCCGGGATCTGCCTTTTTCGCTTCGTCTTCCGAACAATGAGGAGGTAGGTTTCCGTCATTTTCCACTGGAATTCGAGTGAGAAAGAAAAACGGAAGCTCATGCAGCGAGTTTCCCGTTTTTGTGTGCTTTGTTCGGCTCTCGAATGTCTTCTGATCGTTGCCGTTGGTTCAAATTTTCCTATGTGTATCGGTGAGTAGACATCATCTTCACAACAGGTCGCTCAAGCAGGGAGCCGGAGCACTGAGAGGATCGGTGGCGAAGTTATCGATTGCTGTTCTAGTGCTCTTGATCTGCACGCTTTCCTTTCTGTTTTCCACTACACTTACTGGAAACAAGGGATTTACCGGCCCCGCAGAGGTCCGTTTGCTTTGTTGGCATCTTCGCTGCTTCGTGTAGTTGATCTGAATGTGGATGTTCCTCGTTTGATTTTTCGAGGATGTTATTGTTGTGTGCAGATCAATGTAGAACAGCTATGGGAAAGTGCTGATTCCGGTGGATGGAGGCCATCATCAGCTCCCAGATCTCACTGGCCTCGTACGTACTTGTGCTTCATTTATCTTATTAGTATCGAGTATGAGGGGAAGGATTAGCAAATAACGTGGTGACAGTTTACTTTTTTTTTTGGGGTCTTACCATTGATCCGTGGCAGCTCCTCCGAAAGAGAGTAATGGCTATCTGCGTGTTCGTTGTAATGGTGGTCTGAATCAGCAGCGGAGTGCGGTCTGTAAATGAATCATTCCTCTTGTGCATTGTACTCTTTAAACTTGGTTCATGGCTTTGGTCTTAGTTTGTCTTTGATTATGGTCATTCATTAGTTTCTATGCTGTTCTGAATGTTGCAGATCTGCAATGCTGTTCTTGCGGCTAGAATAATGAATGCTACACTTGTGCTCCCTGAGTTGGACGCAAACTCATTCTGGCATGATGACAGGTATCTTTTTTCCTGTATCCGTCTTCCAGTGCATCAAACTCTTTGAAATTTTTTGAACCAGCTGCTTTCCAAAAGTTACAGTATGTATTGAAAGGACACTGCATTCTGCATTATAAGTCATGTTTTGCAACATCTGGCAGTTACCTGTCGCCATTCCCATATTTCCATATCAAGCCTTTTTAATGAACCTACTGATTGATGTTCTTCTGGCGCTTCTTGCGCTCGGTCTTCTTCAACTCTTCAAACTTATCAGGTTGTGTATTGAGACGCTTTTTTCATGCTGTATGTAGTGGATTCCATGGCATTTATGACGTGGAGCATTTTATTCATTCATTGAGGTATGATGTGCGAATTGTTGAAAGCATTCCAGAAATTCGTAAAAATGGTAAAACAAAGAAGATCAAGGCTGTTCAGGTGAGCCATAGCATATCTACTCTCATCATCTTCATAATTTAGTGTTGACCAGTTCTTCCTAAAGCTATTCTCTTTTACTCTTCTAGCTGACACCATTTATTGTTTCCTGACCAGATGCGGCCCGGTAGAGATGCAGGTGTAGATTGGTACACAACAGAGGCCCTCGCGACAATGAAGCAACATGGAGCCATATATCTAACTCCCTTTTCACACCGATTGGCTGAGGAAATTGATAACCCGGAGTACCAACGACTCAGATGCAGAGTTAATTATCATGCTTTAAGATTTAAACCGCATATAATGAAGCTAAGTGAATCAATAGTTGAGAAGCTACGTACAGAAGGCCACTTCATGGCTATACACCTTCGCTTCGAGATGGATATGCTTGCGTTTGCAGGGTATGCTCTGATTGCTGTCCTTCTATAAACATATATTCATAAGTTGGTACCTATGCTCGACGAGCAAATGAGTAATTGGGATGCAGAGGAAAATCACATTTGTCTCATCTTTCCGCTAGTTGAAGAAGGCTTTAAAGTTTTGGGTTTATTAGCAGCCTCTAGGATGCCATGAAGATTTGATAGTGCAGGTTTGGAGTTCTGGGGAAATGTGAGTTTAGCAACCTCATATCTGGGTACTTGAAAGGAATAACCAAGCAAGAATTCCCAGGAGAAAAGGAAATCGTAATAGCCACATCCTGTTGTTTGATACTAGTCTTAGTTAAATACCACTTCAATAACATTGAAGCCTTTATGTTCATCTCTGTGAACGTCTAGAAGTTGCCATCGTTATCAGGTCCATATGTTATGTTCTGGACGTGTGTTTAGTGGCAAGTTCCTGACGTGATTTTTTCACTGTGGTCTACTATACAGGTGTGTCGACATATTTACTCCTAAAGAACGAGCAATATTGCAGAAGTATCGGAAGGAAAATTTTGCTGAGAAGGAGCTGGACCCCGAAGTGAGAAGACTTATGGGAAAATGCCCACTAACTCCAGAAGAGGTGAGCTCCTGTTCATTCATCATGGCTTGGCTGTTGTTTCCTCTCCTGTTGCCATGAGTTTTCTGATCTTAGAAAGATAGGTTATGCCGTCAGAGGATACTTCTAGATGACAACTATCGCTTTGTCGTGTTATGTTGCTGGTACCGAGATAACAACTAAGGTTACTTCATGCTGCAGGTTGGACTTATTCTACGAGCTATGGGTTTTGATAATTCAACTAGAATATTTTTAGCAGCTGGTGAACTTTTTGGTGGGGAACGATTTATGAAGCCTTTCAGGGCTCTCTTTCCTCGTCTAGAAAATCACAGTTCCGTCGATTCCTCGGAGGAGCTATCTACAAAGAGCCAGGGATTGTTGGGTTCTGCTGTGGATTACATGGTTTGTCTTCTGGCCGACATCTTCATGCCAACATATGATGGACCGAGTAACTTTGCCAACAATCTCTTGGGCCATCGCCTTTATTATGGCTTCAGAACAACAATAAGACCTGACAGGAAAGCACTTGCCCCAGTATTCATTGCTCGGGCGAAAGGGAAGAAAGCTGGTTTTGAAGAAGCTGTTAGGCGTGCAATGCTGAATACCAACTTTGGTGGACCTCATGAGCGGGTCAGACCCGAGTCATTTTATACCAACTCTTGGCCGGAGTGTTTCTGCCAAACAGAAGCGAAGAATCCAGCTCATAAGTGCCCCCCTGACAATGTCCTGCAAGTTCTTCATAACCAGTTGGAAAGCCAGATGACAAGCGACTTGGAGCCTCAGCGGGGGAATCGAACTTCTTCCATGGAACGATGAAGAATCTCGTGCGAGAGTCTCTAGCTAGCTTGTTAACTGCGATTCTCCTAGACAGAACACTACTCACCAATTTGGAAGCACAATTCCAAACCACATCATATTGTATGTTTGCCTCAGGTATCCTGTTGCTCTCAGCTTGTAGTTTTCCTACTTTGTACAGGCGTGTCAGCAATCACTTGGAAGTTGTCAAGTCTGCCCTTCAAAGTTCTTTTCAGGACGACAGTTACATCGGCACTAGTGATCATAAAACTAGTGGAACAGCTGCTCAAAGCTAAAATATCCTCTGTAAGGACATAAAGCACTCTACGGGTCGATGGTTAGATGGGACATAGTAGTTGAGCTATCGAACGACAGCATTTTATGGATTTGTTTGTTCAGATGAAAGGAGAGATCTTCAGAGATGTAGTTGATAGTTGAGGGCTGTGACATTGTTCCTGTATTTATACGGGTTTTGTTTACCACTGTTTTCTTCTATTCATTGAATGTCAACCATTATTTCTAGATTGCTGAAGACTCATTGTCGGAGTCTTTGTGCTAATGTTTTGGTTCTCGTGCTAATGTTTTGGTTCTGGCAAGTTATAACTATCGACTCGCTTTACAGCAATTTCAGGTTCAGCTCTAGTCTCCTGTCTGGCAACACATTGCCACTTTAGGACTCAAACTTATGTTAAGATTGTCTAGTAAATCATATTAGGTAGGCTGAAAAGTTGATCACTCTGCTCCGTTGTCTATCGTGCTTATGAACGCAGATCGTGAACGAAAACAGAAAACGGAAACTGATTCAGCAGAAGAGCATGAAAATGTCATAATAAAACAGCCGTCAGTGCGATGCTATTCAATCACGACAAAACCAGAGGCGTTTAGGTACATACAAATGGGTTTACACAACATTTCAGTGACCAATAAAAAAAGGAACTAATCTCACTATCACATATAAGCTGGAGGAGAGTGTGTCCGTTAGTTGCTAATTTACACCGAGACCACACCAAGAAGAGGAAACAAAACACAAACGAAGGAAAACCAGATTGACGGGGATTAGCAAGTGGGTACAGGACGCAATTTGTTTGCAACATAAAGCAAATGTCTGATGTTTGTGGGTGGGTAGTGTTGCAGAAGCTTGAGAATGGAGGTGAAATCCCCAGCAAGGAGCCGCCTTCTTATCAGAATTAGCATCGCACAGCATATCCGAAGTAAAGTCTCCTGCAAATCACAGTCCTCGTTAGTTTCTGGGATGTTTGGGTTCAGATACTACCAAGGGGGTAAAAGAAAGAGAGCAGCACTAGGTATATACAATGTTACGAGTCGAGAGAATGTTGGAAATGAAAGTTGTACCTGAGGGCCTTCGGGATCACTTAGAAGGGTGTCCCAGATATGAAGACTATCTGCGAAGTTGAATTCCTGTGTCAACAGGAGGGTGATCCACCTGAATGCATAAAACTGCGGGTTCACCTGTTCAATCACCAAAAACAAGAAACTCTCTATGCTCAGAGAAGAATAGTCAGTGTTTAAGACTAAACCTATTCTTGAACCATCTCTTACCTTGGTTGTGATCTCGAGGTGACGCCAGAGTTCTTCATCATGTTCCTTTAAAAGCTGGGATAGCTTTGTAATTGTTGAACGGATTCCCACGACACTATTGTCCAACTGCTGGCAGAAATGGTCACGAAATCCACTTAATAACTCAACGAAACAAAAGAATGTGTCTGCTTCAGCACAGGCCTGCACAATGTCAACAGGAAGAATCATCAGTCAATTACTTTGCAAAGTCAGAGTAGCTTGTTCTAGTATGTTGCTGAGCCATAGAAGACAGGTGAAGTGACATTGTAAACTACTACAGGCTGTAGATTTTTTAAAGGCTTCAACAACTTCAAATCTTTTGAAACTTTCAATAACACTTCCTGTGGGAATAACAAACCAACCATGGGAAAACATGAAGTAGATAATGCAAGGACATCTTAAGCACAATCCAAAAAAGTTGGAAAATACAATAATGCACTCACTGCCATTTCCTCATCAGGATCACTTTTGAATACGTAGTATAAAGGAGCCAAAATCTCATTCATCCCTTGAACATATCTGATGCCAGGATTTAATTTAGCAAATACAATTAATATGCTTTTCAAAGCTTCCTGAAAGAGAGAAGGGCACGTGATATGTCAGACGCACTACATCATCAAATTGAATAATTATCAATCAAGAATACAGCATTGGACCTGATTAGAATTTGCAAAAGATGAATCTCCAGAGAAGAAGTGCAAATCAGGATGAGTACGTTTCACATCACGGTCAATCTGCTCTATAATCTCAGAGTCCTGCAATTTAAAAAAGTCCAATGACAATATGCCAAAGCATGAAGCAAAATTAAAGTCAGTTCAAGTCTAAAAATATCAATTTCTACTAATTCAAACAGCAACTCTGACCCAACATCCTTGTACCTGGAAGAACTGATTCCAAATACTGGTTTTCCCAAGGCTCAAAGGATGTTCATCATGAGTTATCTCTGATCGAGATAGCACACAACGACTTTCGGACTTCGGCTCATCATCAATGGCAGACTTCTCCAACTTCCTTGTGATTTCTGACTAACTAGGCACAAAAAAGTTCAGCAATGCATACATGTATTTGGCTTAAGTATGAAGACTAATGTATAATGATCTTATTATATAGTAAATGCAACATAAATCTCCTCGAGCACAATTTCAGGGCATACCACTTATGACAGTACAGGATTAGCTTGTTCATCATAATCATAGAATACTCATTACTTAAATTCTACAAACCGTTTTGTAGGTTGCATAGAACTTTTGAACTTCACAAAGCACCTCTATTTGAGATAATTAGTACTAAATAACTCGAGAAAAGAAAGAATCAACAGCCAAGCAGCTTTTATGAGTCTAAACTAAATCTACACGATTTAAATCCTAGGAATGATGTTAGAATTCCAAAAGTAGCACTCCATAAAGGAACAAGAACATTACACTTACAGGATTCATCAGAAGCTCATCTTTGAAGTTCTTGTATTGGGACCTCTTCTTAGCCAATTCAGATGACCAGTGCGAACGCTCAGGAGGCAAATATCCCAACAAAAGCTGCAAATAGATAATTTCTTTTACAGGTCAACCAACCCTACTTGGGAGTTCCTCCAACTTCTAGATTCACACCTCAGTTGTAAAATAATACAAAGGAAGAAGCTTGTGCAGTGGATAAAGATCAAGACAATAATAGTTTGTTTCTCCTAGTTTATCAAGAGTAAGGGCTGCATTTGTTATTCCAGCATCAAAACAAAAACTTCATTTTCCATTCCAAATTTCCAAGCAAACAAATCATCCAAACCCGAAACAGTGCGGCAGCCAATTATTACCTTCCAAACTGTAGAACGGATGCCAGCACCATCAGGCAAGCCCTGTGAAGCAATCTTCCTCAATTCTTTCACATTCACTACCTTCTTCGACAACTGCATTCGTATGATTCATAGTTCAATCAACCAGGTAAACAGAACAAGCAAACAATACAGAATCTCTCACTCCCACTCACCTCGGTCAATAACTGAGCCTGCTTCGTGATATCCTCCGCGGAAGGGCTAGCAGGAGAGGCGCCATTCTCGCCATCGCGATCTTCATCCTTGTCGATACTGCTATTGCTACTGCTATTCGCGTTACTAGAAATACTAGTCCGGGAATTCTTATCTTTGATCTCCGGTTTCTGAGAACGGGGAGGAGGAGGAGGTGGTTGTTCTTCTCTCGTGACCGTCGGAGGCCGGACGGGAACCGGAGGCTCAAAATTAGGATCACTCGCTATCTTCCTGGGGGAAACGGCCGGCTTGGAGGAAGGAGAGTAAGGTTGGGAGGGATCGTCGGAGGAAGAAGAGGAAGGAGAAGTGGACCAGAGAGAGCTATTGAGCCAATCCGGCACGTTCTTCTTCACCATCGCAGGAGGCGGCTCGTGCCTCGTGGCTTTCCGTCGGGCGAAGCGTAGAACGGGCCGGCGCAGAGAGCTGATGATGACTCAGCTGACTCGCGGAAGTGCTGGATTTTCTTCAGTACGGTTCTGCTGCTGCTTCTTCTTCTTCGTCGTCGTCTTCTTCTGTTCAGCGGAAGGGAGATCCCGTCAGTCTAAAAGGAGGGAATAAAGCGACGAGGCGGTCATTTTAGTGGATCCGAAGGCGCGCCCACAGCGCGACAGGTTTCCTGTTGACGTGCGTCGAGGGAAGGGAAGGTTTTCAAAGGTTTCTTATTTGTTTTGTTATCCTGAAAATTACTGATAGTCCTAAGAAAAATCATTAACTATATATTTTTCATCAATCCTAAATTTCATTAACCATGAAATAAAATGTCTTAACCAAATCATCCAAATTAACACGAAAACCAAATTAACCAAACCAAAATTTAATTGGATAATCGGATTAACCAAATAACATAATATTATATAATGAATAAAACATAATCATATGTTATTACTATCATAAACTATCATTATATATAAGCAATAATAATAAGAATAACCATCCATGATTATCATCATCATTTGAGTTAATACATCATTCATCATCTCTGCACCTAATATAGTTAGCTTACAACAAACCCTTAACATAAATATAAAATACATACCAATACCACTCATCAGGAAGTTAAAGCTCTCCTACAAAACACTTAAAACTATACATAGTTTGAGGTAGGGTGTCCATTCGGGTTCGGTTTTTGGGTTTACCCAAAACCGACCCGATTATATAAACTTTTGGTTTTTCGGGTTCGGGTTTGTTTCGGGTTTCAGGTTTTTCGGTTTTGGGTTCGGTTTTGCTTATCGGGTTTTCGGGTTCCGAATGAAAACCTCCAATGAATAGAACTCAGCCTGTATTCTTAGGCATTTCGGTTTTCGGTTTTGCTTTAACCGAACCCGAACCCGATAAGGAATTTTCGGGTTTCGGGTAATCGAAATCCGCAAACTATTATCGGGTTCGGTTTTCAGTGATTTTCGGTTTCGGATTTTCGGGTTTTTTTCGGATTTTGGTTCGGGTAACTGATAATCGGCTTCAATATATCGGATTCTTGAACTTTATGTGACTATCCCATGATATGTTTAAGCCGATTGGTGCTATTTTAGGGCTCGCTAACCCGGGAAAGGTTGAAAAAACCATTACTGCCTAATGCCATGAGTTTGATGTATTACAGGTGAAGAAAGCACGAAAAAAGAAGCGAGTGCACAAGCAATTAATCGGGCTCGAATCACTAGTGGAATACTCACTCGGCTAGGAGGAGCAGTGGGCCTAAATGGGCTGGAAGAGGCAGCATGCATTGGGCCAAAGCCCATTCTTTTTCCTTTCTCCAGAGCTGGGCGGAATTTTTGGGGACACGCAGATGGGGACACGGAAACGAGAAGGCAACAACTGGCGATTGGGGAGAGCAACAGCGCACTCGGAAAACGCAAGCAGCGCGCTGAATTTGTTCCATAAGCTGGGCGATAGCGAGAATTTGACCATCATCGCAACTTGAGTTATTGAGTATTTTTGTTCCTTCTCTTTTCATTAGTTTTATAAGGATAATAAACATGATTATATCTTTTGATTTCACCATGAACTAAACCCCAATTTCTGGGAGAAACACCATAGGATGTAGCTATTTCTAGACTTGACGAATGATTCATATTTCTTTTCTTCCAATCTCTATTGCATGGAATTGCTTAATGCTTTGTGTTGACTGGCCACCAATACAATGAATCGTAGTTAATTAGGTTATTAGCGACAGTGAAACCCTCATAACTGAACCTATTTCATGTGACATAGTAACTTATCGAAGCGACAGTGGATTAAATTAGGTGCTATGCAGTCTTGATTTGGATATCGGTCTTAAGGCTAAATAATTAATTCATTGAGCTACGACAGTAGGATTTGAATTGAGTATTTAGTACGTAGTAACTCCCGACAGGGATAGCTAGCACATTAGTGATATCCTGGCTGTAGAGAATTGGATTAAACTGATTGGAATATGTGAATTAATTTTGATATGATAGGTAGTGAATTCCGGTGTTTCTCCCAGAGCTTTCTCCCATTGATTTTCTCCCGACAACTTTAATTTGATTGTTTTGTTTAATTACTTTGCTATTTGATAATAGTTTCATCACTTAAACATTTTCACATATAGTTTGCTCTATAAAATTGATAGAACTTAAGGTTGTACCAGCCCCTCAGAGACGATACCCGGACTTTCCGGTTTACTACGAGATAGGAAATTGGCATATACGCTTTTGCCCTATCAAGTTTTTGGCGCCGTTGCCGGGGACTGCCATACCTTATTGTTGTTGATTTTTGTGAGTGAACTATTTTGATTTGTGTTCTAGTGTGCAGGTGAATTTCAGGTTTATCCTCCTTGTGCATGCCTAGGAGGACGACCGGCGATTTACTACCACTAGACCCGGAGATCGAGAAGACCTGTCGACAGAACAGGAAGCAGGTCAAGTTAGGGAAGCAGCCAACCACAACTCCTAGGCCTTCCCTAACCCATAATCGTCAACAGATAGGGCAGGCTTCATCACCTGTCATCTCTACACCACCTACACCACCACCACCGCGCGACATCGAGCCTGTCATCATGGCAGACCAGGATCGGTCGATCAGGGCTCGCTTGAATCGAAGAACTGGAGCCCGAGCTTCATGTGTTGTCATTCCGGCTGGGGATGCAGCCATGGAGATTACCCTAGCATTCATCAACATGATCACCAATGGGTATACTTTCTCTAGGGCTAGCAGTGAGGATCTTCACGAGCATCTTCGCCGGTTTGCGAGCATATGTGATACGATGAAAAGCCCCACAGTATCTGATGATGCAATCCGTCTTCGGATGTTCTCATTCTCCCTGATAGGGAATGCATCACATTGGTTTCAGAACTTAACACCACGTTCCATCACGACATGGGCTCAGCTTGAGAAGGTCTTTTTGGATAAGTACTTCCCACCTGCCTTGGCAATGAAGAGGCAAGAAGAGATTGTTACTTTTAAGTAGGCTGATGATGAGAGTCTGACTGAGGCATGAGAGCGCTACAAGGGGTTGTTGATGAGATGCCCGAGTCATGGTCTTGAGGATTGGAACGTGATTATTATTTTCTTTAATGGAATCAGAAGGGAGTTTCGGGATGCCCTAAATAATGCTTCTCGAAATGGTTTCACAAGGATGGAGGCACCTGCAGCACATGAACTGGTAGAGAAGATCTGTTCAGAAGCCACTGAATGGGATAGTGAGACCAGTATTCGAAGAAGAGGAGGCTTTCATGAAGTTGACAGAGTTACAAGTCTCGAAGCCAAGTTGGATGCTAAACTGGATTCTAAGTTCGATGCACTCGAACGAAGGCTAGCCAAGATTGCTTTCGGTAGACAAGAGGAGGTTGCTTTATGTGAACTTTGCGAGGGTCCTCATCATAGGGATATGTGTCCACTGGGAGCTGCTCAGTTGGAAGATGTCCAGTATATCAATAATCCGCGAAGTCAAGGCCAGGGTGGTATCTATTCAAATACATACAACCCTCAATGGAGACATCACCCCAACATGTCATGGTCGAATAATAACCCAGCTGGTGTTCGTAACATCCCACCTCCTGGTTTTCAACAGCAGCAGCAGCCTCAACCAGAGAAGAAGCCCCAGCTGGAGGAGTTGATTTTGGCTCATATGCAAAAAACAGACAATAATTTCAAGGGTCTTGATCAATTTGTCACTCAACAGCTAGCCATCAACAACAATGTGCAATCATCTCTGCTAGCTATGGAGGGCAAATAGGCCAGATGGCTCAAACTTTGGCAGATATTCAAGGTAGGATTCCGGGGACTTTACCAGCAAATACCGAGAGGAATCCAAAGGATGCCATGGTTGTAGCTGTCACCTTGAGGAGTGGAAAGGCCTTGGAGGATCCAGAGAGTTTAAGGAAGTCAACAAAATCAGAAAAAGAAGGAGTGGTAGAGGTAGAGGATGAAGAAAGTGCAAAAGCTGAAAAATCTGACTTGCATAGGCAAACTGCATGCAATCTGTATGTGCATGAGCATTCTGCCTGTGCACCTCCAAAGGTGGAAAAATTCAAGAATGAAGAGGTAAAACCTTATGAACCTCCCGCACCATTCCCTCAAAGGTTAATGAAGCCCATGGAAGACCCAAATTTCAAGAAATTTGTGAATATCTTCAAGCAACTTCATATCAACATACCGTTGGCGGAGGCACTTGAACAGATGCTTACATATGCTAAATTCTTAAGGGAGTTGCTGACAAAGAAGCGCAAATGGGCTGATCTGGAGAAGGTAACCCTTACTTCTGAATGTAGTGCTGTGATTCAGAATAAATTACCAGAAAAGAGGGATGATCCGGGCAGTTTCACCATTCCATGTGTTATTGGAGGTAGAGAGTTCGATAAATCAATTTGTGATCTTGGAGAAGGAATTAATTTGATGCCATACTCAGTCTACAAGAAATTGGGATTGGGAGATGTTCTTAAACCTACTCGGATCACTCTCCAATTGGCTTATCGATCCGTGAAAATTCCAAAGGGAGTGGTGGAGAATGTATTGGTGAAGGTGGGAAAGTTTATTCTCCCTACAGATTTTGTTATTCTAGAGATGGAAGAAGATCAGGGAGTGCCTCTCATTCTTGGCAGACCTTTCCTAGCCACTAGCGATGCACTCATCGATGTTGGGAGAGGCAAGTTGACATTCCGAGTAGGTAAGGAGGAGGAAATTTTTAATATCTTTCAAGTTGATCATAATCACGATGCATTTGATGACTTTGAAAGTGGAGTTCGAGAAAGGAAAAATTCCTCTTCCTGTGATAGTGGATCAGCTGAAGAATCACTTGTCCTATCAGCTCAGATTCTGAAATCAAAGCAAGGGCATAAATTATTGCCAGGTCACCTCAAGTATAGATATTTGGGTAAGGATTTCAATCTTCCTGTTATTATTCCTTCTTCACTGACATAGAAACAGGAAGAGTACTTGCTTGAGGAGCTGCAGTACCACCTACGCCTCACTAAAGGGTCTAACATGCCAGCTAAGAAGGTCGTACCCAATTTTCGCACACCTGCCCTGCAGAGGTGACTCATATGTTGGATGGAGGTTATGCGTTCTATCACTGCTCGGGAGGGTATTCCAAATACCTTTCCATACCCATTGGTTGAAAGCTCCATGAACGTCAGGCTGAGGACGTTAAACAAGCGCTTCTTGGGAGGCAACCCAAGGTGAGTTTTCTTTTCTTTATTTTTCTTTTTAGTTGGGTCAAACCCGTGCATGTTTAGATTAGGAGTTGAACATTAGGGACAATGTTCCATCCTGAGTGTGGGGTGGTGAGTCTTAGTGTTTGTTTGTTTGTCCCTATTGCATGTGGTAAAAAAACAAAAAATCTGTCATTTGGCTATGCATAGTCAAACTGCATGCAGTCTAACTGTGCAGGTGCAGTCTGCTTGTGCTAACCTAATGGCTAAAAAACACCTAAAAATTAGAAAAATTAAAAAAAAACCTTGTACTCTTGTGGTAACATGATGTAAATGACCGTGATGCCTTGAAAATGAGTTTGTGCTTGAAGGAAATCATCAAAATCACTCCCACTAGTGTTGAATTGCATAGTTCTTCACAATGAGCTTGATGTTTTGACTGACTTGATGTGCTTTGAATGAGCAAACTCTTTTAGCAACATTCTCTTTTGGGAGGATAGTGTAATGACTTTTGATGAAGTAGTTAGGTGGAGAACATTGACCATTCGACATGTTTGGATATCGTGCTTACTTGCATCTGTTGTGAGCTTTTGACTTTGCAATGAGTCTCTCTATTTTAAAATGTTTTATGATGGGGTGACTGTATCTTTATAAAAGGAAAAATCCTACCTGACAAGTAAAAGATAAGAAAGTTTCCATAACAATTAAAGTGTGGGTAAAATACCAAAATCGTGTGAGGCAATCACTCATTGCACATGGGGATTAGGAAAGATTCAATTGAGAATCGGTTCGCGACCGGACGATGTTGTTTATCAAGTACGATCCCCATTTGAGTGAAGTGCCATTAGAGGATGTGCAATGACCCTCCACACGGACTGAGGAAAAGGAGTTAAAAGAAGCCCTTATGCGAGTGCTAAGAAGCAGAAATTGCTCTTGCTCGGTCACCGGTAGTAAGAAACAAATCCCACTTGTACTAAATACGACCACTCGGCAAGCAAAATCAGAAAGAGAGAAAGCCTCTCCTTGTCATAAAAGGTAGTGATGTGCTTAAAGTTAAAATCATGTTTGCAAAAGGCTTCCCCCATTAGTTTTTGAGACTCGTGCTTTGTTAATTGCTTATGATTGGTGTGAGTAAGCCAGATTGTCCTCACGAGATATGCACCTCACTGATGTGGTTAGATTCTCCTAATAATTGTTACACCATAAGTTGTTAATCACCCACTACCGACGATCGGAATTGAGTGTTGCTATTTGAGTTTTTGATGGATTTGAGTCAGTCAATGTTAAATGGTTGCAAAGACCTTGAGTGTGGGGTGAAAGGTATGATCATTAAAGCACAACTTGTCCTTTGAGAAAGAAACTACTGATTACAACAAGAGTACAAGGAAAATTTTGTTTTGTTTCGAGTGTTTGATTGGTGAGTCTGTGATGTGTCATTGTTGTGGATGGTTATGTGTTTGTGTTGTTTGAGTCGTTGCTTAGGGACAAGCAACAATTGAGTGTGGGGTTGTGATAATCGGCTTCAATATATCGGATTCTTGAACTTTATGTGACTATCCCATGATATGTTTAAGCCGATTGGTGCTATTTTAGGGCTCGCTAACCCGGGAATGGTTGAAAAAACCATTACTGCCTAATGCCATGAGTTTGATGTATTACAGGTGAAAGAAAGCACGAAAAAAGAAGCGAGTGCACAAGCAATTAATCGGGCTCGAATCACTGGTGGAATACTCACTCGGCTAGGAGGAGCAGTGAGCCTAAATGGGCCGGAAGAGGCAGCATGCATTGGGCCAAAGCCCATTCTTTTTCCTTTCTCCAGAGCTGGGCGGAATTTTTGGGGACACGCAGGTGGGGACACGGAAACGAGAAGGCAGCAACTGGCGATTGGGGAGAGCAACAGCGCACTCGGAGAACGCAAGCAGCGCGCAGAATTTGTTCCAAAAGCTGGGCGATAGCAAGAATTTGACCAGCATCGCAACTTGAGTTATTGAGTATTTTTGTTCCTTCTCTTTTCATTAGTTTTATGAGGATAATAAACATGATTATATCTTTTGATTTCGTCATGAACTAAACCCCAATTTTTGGGGGAAACACCATAGGATGTAGCTATTTCTAGACTTGATGAATGATTCATATTTCTTTTCTTCCAATCTCTATTGCATGGAATTGCTTAATGCTTTGTGTTGACTGGCCACCAATACAATGAATCGTAGTTAATTAGGTTATTAGCGACAGTGAAACCCTCATAACTGAACCTATTTCATGTGACATAGTAACTTATCGAAGCGACAGTGGATTAAATAAGATGCTATGCGGTCTTGATTTGGATATCAGTCTTAAGGCTAAATAATTAATTCATTGAGCTACGACAGTAGGATTTGAATTGAGTATTTAGTACGTAGTAATTCCCGACAGGGATAGCTAGCACATTAGTGATATCCTGGCTGTAGAGAATTGGATTAAACTTATTGGAATATGTGAATTAATTTTGATATGATAGGTAGTGAATTCCGGTGTTTCTCCCAGAGCTTTCTCCCGACAACTTTAATTTGCTTGTTTTGTTTAATTACTTTGCTATTATATAATAGTTTCATCACTTAAACATTTTCACATATAGTTTGCTCTATAAAATTGATAGAACTTAAGGTTGTACCAGTCCCTAAGAGACGATACCCGGACTTTCCGGTTTACTACGAGATAGGAAATTGGCATATACGCTTTTGCTCTATCAGTAACCAAACCCGACCCGAACTGACACCCTAGTTTGAGGTGGTTGTCATGGTATTTTACGTAATCCTAAAGTCTAGTAGCTGCCCAAAATGTTTTGGTTTAGTAAATAGGCAACACATTTAATTTTTGACCCATAATGCTTTGGTTTGTTGTGCACATGGAAATAAAATAGGGAATCACGAAAAGTTTGGTTTGGTTGGTTGCATGGAAGTATAAATAATTTTTTGTATTAGGTGTATCATTAATTGGTTTAATTGGTTAGCAGTGTTGAAACCAAACTAAACTACCTAAACCAAATAAGCTAAATTGTTTAACCAAACCAAACCAATTATCCAAATTAACCAAACCAAATTAACCGAACGCTATCGGTTAATATGGTTACCACAATAATCAATCCGTTTGAACACCCTACTTACAACTTCAGTTTTCAATTTAGCACCAATAAATTAAACTCAAAAGAAAACATACACGCAAAAGAGAAATATACTACTAACTCAGTCAATTCTTACTTAAATTATTGTTTAGACAATTCAACAATAAAAATTATTTTTATAATAATCGATATTCAAAATCTTTCCATTCAGTTCTCTTTCTCTATACAGCTTCAGTTTTCAATTTAGCACCAATAAATTAAACTCAAAAGAAAACATACACGCAAAAGAGAAATATACTACTAACTCAGTCAATTCCAAGGTTGTCAACCGGGGGTTGACTACGGGTCGACCCAATTTGATCATGACCCGGTGAGAAAAACAGGCCGCACGCACCCGCCGGGCCGACCGCTATTAGGTACTGGTTTGGAGGTCAAATTGTGTCATTTTTTTCTTTAGTTTGCGAAATGCGCCTATTTTCCAATTTTTCTTTTCGCCTAACTCAATCTTTGGAATACTAAGTTGAACATTTGAATATTTGTGTTATATAAGTGTGTGTGAATTTTCACTATATGTTGGATCTAAGTACGATATGTTATTTTTGTGTAATATTATATGTTAGAACTCATATGTTAGATAAGATTTGATATAATTTATGAGGATAAATACAATATAATGACTCTTTCTATATTTTCGGGCCAAACCGGGCTAAAACGGTTGACCCATTAACCCTTGACCCACTAGCTCGACCGGGTCCGGGTCAACCCTGTTGGATAATGACGTCCATCTCAAGCAAATGGAAACGGCGTCACTTTGCATCCCAGTAACGACGTCGTCCTTCAAAGCCTTTACAAAACCAAACCTCTGTCGTTTCATGGCACAGCACAACGTTTCATTTCCAAAACCGACCATTATCCAGATCTGCTCGCTTCTCGATCTTCACCTCCACCTTTCGTTTCTCTGGAGAACAAAGACATCTCTCTCGAAGCTTGCATCTCCCACAAAGATCGTCACCGACTCTACAGAGACTAATGATGATCACAGCCTTGATCATCATCCTTAGCTAACGGTTATCTTCCTCCCTTGTATAAATAGTAGGTTCTTTTCTCCAGTTAAAATTTGGCAGTTTGTAGTAGAAGAATAGAGAAGTGTCTTCTGTTACTTTGGGTCCGTATTTAGCTTCAGTAGAACAAATCACAGTGTTGTAGTACTGGGTGATTTGTTCTTGGGAAGTTTGTGTCTTGTTCAAAGAGCCAATTCGTTGGCTTGGCTCTTGCCTTTCTTTCGGTTGTTTGTTCCTTGAAATAAATAAAATTATTCATTTCTAGAAAGGCTGTTTAGTCGAGTGTGATCTTCTTTACAAAATCAGTCGAGTGTGATCTTCTTTACAAAATCGATTCTTATTCACACTCTGATTTCATAACCTTAGTCAATTCTTACTTAAATTATTGTTTAGACAATTCAAGAATAAAAATTATTTTTATAATAATCGATATTCAAAATCTTTCCATTCAGTTCTCTTTCTCTATAAAAATATCAGATTTCTAAATTTTCATACAAACTTTCTGGAATTCCTTCCAGTTGGATAATTTTTATGGATTATGTCTTTTCACCAATCCAACCAAACAAGGTAATTGAATCTCTTTTTTGTCACGCAACCCCCAATCAAACGAGATATTTCAAATGAAAAATGTTGAGAAGTGACCATGGGATAGCATATCTTAGATAATTTTCAGTTTGACCATGACTGAACCAAAATCGTTTTGACCATGGTCGAATCGAAGCCCCACTTGGTTTGGACCATGAGAGTACTGAAGGCAGGTTTCGATTGAAACAACTTTAGCCTGAAAAATATTCGTAATGGATCCATACTACAAAAGGAAAATAACGCCAAACAAATAGAAGCATAAAGTTGAAGCTCTCATGAATCATGATCGTCCTTGGGAACTGTTGTCAATTTGATTTTGGCAACTTGGTTCGTGAGGACCAAGTCATGTCATGTGCCTCTGCTTTGGCATAATTGCATCTTTCACAGCTCAAGTGGGAACAACTTTAGTAATGTTCCTTTGTATAGTATGTCCATCCAAACCAAACTGCCACAGCCATCAGCCAAGCAAGCTTTCCTCTTTCCAACTCATAGTCGACCATGAGTAGTGATTGCAACAGTTTGAGGTTGATCAGTCAATGGCATGACAAGTTCTGCCGCTAATAAGCGAATGGCAAATCACTAATCTGGAGTCCGGGCAATAATCAATGGGAGCCGTTTCTTTGAACGTTGAGATCAAAGTAAGAAAACCGTCATTACCGGGCTCAGGAGTTGCTATCAACTTCTAACAACTACCATGTGCAGCTCAAGGAGAAAGATGTACTTGGCGCTGGATCGAAGTAAATCAACCAAGTAGTAATACAATCTGCAATGAGCTGGCTGCATAGGAGCCCCATGGAACACTCAGAGACCCGTAATAATGCATTATATCTACTCGATGACAGCAGCCTGCACCTGAGAGAGTTACCAGTAGTCTCCGCACGAACAAGTTCCATCCTTGAAATGATGGAAACGCTTAATGTCTCTCACTATGATCTCCCTCTGGCTCATTATGCTGGCATACTTCATTAAAGAGTGGCAGTCACCACAGATCCTAAGATTTTTCACAATCCTAATGGGTGCTGTCTTTGGAGAAGTTTGGATTAGCGCGAAAGCAAGAGCTAATTTTTCGCTGTGACTTCCCAGGGCGTCTTCCTTTTCTTCTTCTTCAATGTTATGAAGTACCCATTCGGTTCCAGGCATGTAACCTTGTTTTCTTGCACCTGACATTATTTCCTCCAGTTTCTGATGGATCTCATTTGCATCCTTATGATGAGCATTGTCACCAGCCACAAACCTATGTACTTGGCCATCCACCTCGACGTGACTCCACCCGGGACCTTTTCCAACACCTTTGTCCTGCATTGAACTTCGCACTCTCTCTGCATCTTCCCATCGTCCCACTGCAGCATAAGCATTAGACAAGAACACGTAACTGCCAGGATGTTTCGGTTCAAGCTCAAGGAGCTTTGTCACTGCAAATTCTGCTATTTCAACATTCTTGTGTGCCCTACAAGCACAAAACAAAGTTCCCCAGATCACAAGGTCTGGATTTATTGGCATCTCCTCGATGAATTTGAGAGCTTCATTCAGCCTCCCTGCCCTGCCTAATAGATCCACAATTAGTGAATAGTGTTTCATGGACGGGTCAATCTGGTAGTCAAGCCTCATGCTGTCGAAGATATTAAGCCCAAGATCAACTTGGCCTGCATGTGTGCAAGCCGTCAATAGGGCAAGAAAGACAACTTCATCTGGTTTTATGCCTGCAAATAGCCAAGTGTTTTAAGCGTTCATGTAATTGTCTGTAAATGTCAAAGCAAATCCGTAAAATAAGTATGCTGTCAGACCTGAACGCAGCATCTGCTTGGAGCATTGAACAGCTTGCTGGAAACGGCCATGGAGTGCCCAGCCCCATATCATGACACTCCAAGTAAGGATATCCCTCTCTTTTGTCTCACTGAACACCTGACTTGCAGACTCTATATTCCCACATTTCGCATACATGTCTACCAAGGCAGTCCCAATCGCCGCATTCAACCTGAACCTGTTGTCCTTAATATACTTGTGTATCCGCAATCCAGCTTCAACTGCACCAATCTTTGCACAAGCAGAAAGAGCAGAAACAACAGTAAAATCATTCGGCCTCACGTTCTCCTCCAACATCCTAGAGAAAACTGAGAGCGCCTTCTCATTGTCACCATTCTGAGAAAACCCGTTAACCATTGTGGTCCAAGTTACCACATTCTTTTCTGGCATCTGGTCGAAAGCTGCCTTGGCTTTATCCAATAGTCCAGCTGCCAAGAACCCATTAATCAAACTATTCCATGACGCAACATCCCTCCCGGGCATCGTATGGAAGAGCTCCATAGCCTTAACTATATCACCCTTCTTACAGCACCCATTTATCAACACATTCCACAACAGCGTGCTCCGACTATCCAGTCTGTGGGGACTTTCATCGAACACCTTCAGGGCATACCCCAGTTCTTCAATTTTCACATACATATCAGCCAGAGACACCTCAACAAAGGAATCCAACTCAACCCCAGTCTTGAAAATCATGCAATGAAGTTCCCCAGCAAGCCTTCTCAAGAACAGCTGCGCCGTTGATTTGAGAACAAACGGGTAAGTCATCCTGTCAGGCCTAGCATCCGACCTCAACATGAGAACAAAATGGGACAGTGCAACCTCGAAACGGGCATTCTTCACGAGCCCACGAATCAGGGCATTGAACAAAAACACGTTCTTGGGATGGTATTGGCTGAATACGGAGATGGAATAGTCAATGGCGTTCCGGAGAGATGAGGCAGACACCAACTGGGTGGCGAGGAGGCTGCTCCAAGAGAAGCCCTGGAGGAGGATCTGCGCATGGATTTGACGGAGATGGAGGACGACTTTGGACGCATGAATGAGAGGGACGAACTGGGATTCGGTCGAAACCGCAGGAGCTATACGAGTTGGGGTTCTCGCGGCGGTGGAGGGAGAGATCAGTTTGGCGGGAGCGGATGTTTGTTTGGGGAGAGCAGCGAGAGTTTTCATTTGGACTGCATGCCGGCTGCAAATGGTCGTTGCCTCATTGGTCTTTCATATTGATACTTACTTTGATATGTGAACATAATATTTTGGGTTTATATTTTCGTATGGCCTAAACTTTGACCAAAATAAATATCCTGGCCAATCTTTTCGATCTATAACATCCTGGCCCGAACTATACACCAAAATAAACAATTTGGCCAAACCCGATGTTTGACCGTTAACTTGGACGGTCAAACGCATTGACTAACGGTCAACGCGCCACGTCACTGCCAAGTCAGAAGATCTGATAAATATTTATTTTTTTTGTTTTGTATTTTTGGTTTAACTAAGGTATTAGATAATTTTTTTAATTTATAATAATTTATAATTAGGGAATGTGTGGAAATTGTGAATTATTTTAAATATTTTATGCTGACTTGACAGTGACATGGCGCGTTGACTAACGGTCAACACGTTTGACCGTCCAAGTTAACGGTCAAAAGTCGGATCTGGCCAAATTGTTTATTTTGGTGTATAGTTCGGGCCATGATGTTATAGATCGAAAAAATTGGCCAGGATGTTTATTTTGGTCAAAGTTCAGGCCATACGAAAATATTAACCCTAATATTTTTACAAACTATAGAAAATCAAATAATGATTAATTACACAAAAGAAAGAAGTTGTGGAGTATTGAATAATACAGCCATATATTCGTAAATAAAAAATACAATTATCATTATGAGCTTCATGTTACTCCACCAAAGCATGTTATGGGCTGGGGTGTAAATCTATGGGTCAATAGCATAAAAGGTCACTTACGTTTGTAGTAACTAACAAATTGGTCACTTACGTTTCAAATTTAACAAATTAGTCACCTACGTTTTTACTAACTAACGAACTAGTAATTCCGTCAATCTCTATCAACTTTCCATCCAAAATTGCCATGTCACCTTACCACATCATCACAATATATATTAAAATAATTACATGTTTAAAATCATCCAAGAGACCAAAACTGAACCCAACCAATCTAAATTTTCCAAACCAATAAAAACTAACCAACCTATAACAAAGGCCCCCAGCCCACACTCGCTCTCTCGCTCTCCCTTTTTGCTTCGTAAAATGAAGAGAGGCAAAGCCTAGGAACCCCACAAATACAAAGGGGAGCACAATCGACACTTAACCCCTTCTCCTCTCCTCTTCACGCTGCGACTAAATAGTGAGTCGATGATTGATGGTGAGGCGATGGCGTCGGGGAGACAGCGGCGAGCGACACAGCAACGGCTTTGATTGGAGCTACAACCAGTGACCGGTGGAGGTGGCTAAATATGCAGGAGGCGCGGAGGCGACAGATCTTACAACGAAGATCCAGACGATGGCGGTAATAGGGACGGGCCACGAGTATGAATTTTGCTGCACAGGGCCTCACCGGATCCTTGCTAAGACTGCTCGCCTCACAGCCGCGCTTCTCGGCGGCGATTGCAGTGACCTGGAGAAAAGTCTCCACGGTGGGCGGCAATCTGGACTGGGCGGTAGAGGGGAACAACGACGGAGCCGATTTTGGGTAGGGCGGCTAGCAATCGCTCCCCGTCGGCGTAGAGCAGAGTTGATTGCGACGGCGATAGAGGGGCTGGGTTCGGTTTTGGATATGGATGAGAAATCAGATCTAGTTTTGTCAGGTTGGTTGGTTTTAGGGTGGTTGGGTTCCGTTTTGGATGATTTTAAACATGTAATTATTTTAATATATATTGTGATGATGTGGTAAGGTGACATGGCAATTTTGGATGGAAAGTTGACAGAGATTGACGGAATTACTAATTCGTTAGTTAGTGAAAACGTAAGTGACCGATTTGTTAAAATTGAAACGTAAGTGACCAATTTGTTAGTTACTACAAACGTAAGTGACCTTTTATGCTATTGACCCGTAAATCTATTAAACAAAGTCAAAACTTTTCATTCGCAAACTCAAATGCAAAACCAGATTTTTTTCCTTCACAAAATAAGTAAATGCAGTATGGGTATATAAAAGAGAAATAAAATATACATGCGGTAATCGATAATGAATTGGTCTATCAATGTAAAAATCTTTTTCTCACTAAATGTTGAATTTTGTACAAGCTTTTGCTCATATTAACATTTTGTACAAGCTAAATGTGGTAATATGTCATCACTTCAAATAGATCATATAACATTATTAACAGTTTAACACTTGAATATCATGTGTTTAACAGGAATAAATGAGTGTTATTGGGATTTAAACAGAAGATCTCTTATATCATGTCCAGAACAATGTGGTTGGTCCCAATAAGTATGAGTTATTGGGAAAAAAATTCAATAGCGTATTTCAGTTACTAACGAGATAGATAGATGAAAGGGAAGGAATTTGAAACTACTGAGTTGTGAAGGAAGCACGAAAGAGCCATCGGAAACTTCAATAGACTAAGTCTTTAATGGGTGATAGAGTCATGGAAGCCACTGTATATGATTAAAAAGGGAAAGAAAAAAAGCCTTAACAGCAAGCAAGCTATGCATACCAAATCACACTGGTCGGAGGAGCAATAGCATCACGAAGGAAGAGGATCACGGGACGACGAGGCCCGCCAAGTACAACTTGATCTAATCTCCCCACTTCCGCCACATCGCGTTGTGTACTTCGGTCTGTGAAATTGGTTCGCCTGACACCCTCGAGCCTAATAGGCATGTAATTACGCAACCTTTTCCTCCACTTTTTCATATTCACCAGATCCACAGGTTAATTGCATCGGCTATCACTTAAGTATATAATTCGTTGCACAGTGACCACCTAAGTACGTTTTGTTGCAAACTAACCACTTACGCCGAATAAACGTTGCAGTGTCACAATTTCCATCACTTTAGCTAACAACAGGTACCAAAAAGAAATTTCCCATGCCATGTCGACTTGCCACGTCAGCTGCAGCCGCCTAGTCATACCTGACCCACTAAATCTACACAATTTCAATACTATTATATGGCCCTCCTCTCTCCCATCGGACTAAAATCTCCTCACCTTCACACACACAAAAATCTGCTCACCGAAATCTCATCTCCATCCCTTCCCTCTTCCTCGCAGAGAAAATCTTTCTCCTCTCCAATGTTTCTATCTTCCCATAATCTTGTGATGCTATCGTAACGTGTTCTCCTTCCCCTCCTATATCACCCTACCAGTAAGTATTGTTCGTCCAATCAAAGAGGATGCATTCATCTGTCTTTCTACAGCTTTTCAATGGCGGCAGCAACTCCATTGTGACGCTGCAGTGAACCGGCGATTCTTCGAACCTCGTGGACTGATGCCAATCCCAGAGGTCATAAAGCAAACAGATGTATAGCTGGGGAGCTGCTGCAAATCTCAGGCTTGTCAATATTGCACGACAGAAGGCTGCAAAACCTATAGTTTCCTTAAGAAAACCAGTAGGCGCCTGATGGTTGGAAGCATATGTTGGTGTATGATCTAATTTTCCAACTTCCCTGATGGTTGGAAGCATTTTGCTAATAGATTATGACCTCTGCATATATTTTACAAGCCTATCACGAAGAAGGATAGAAAATCAGAACAAGGGAACATAGAAAGAACGAATAACGTAAGAACATCAAGTGAACGAGTTAGCTTACCACACGAGAAACAAAGACACCTTCAACGTTTATGGAAACTTAAGTACATGTCGTTGGCTAAAGCGGCGGAAATGATGATGATGCAACGTTTATTCGACGTAAGTGGTTAGTTTGCAACAAAATGTACTTAGGTGGTAACCGTGCAACGAATTGTAAACTTAAGTGAAAGTCGGTGCAATTAACCCCTGGAACCACACCATCGGCGTCCGCGACTGCAGTAGTATTCTTGCGACTCCTCCTACTCTCTTTCCTGATTTGGTGATTAAGTCTCTCTGAACCCTTAGATCGAGATATATTAATATAATGGTTAAAATATGATAATGAATTTTTATTTTTATTCTTTTATGGTTGGAATTTTTAATTAATAATATGGGGTAGTTAAAGTATTGTGAAAATGGTTTTTATTTATGATTTTATTATATGTATTTTTCATTCTTCCACAAATCACTATCATCGTTCCCTTTCTCTTATTTATACCTTATTTATATTTTAACTAGACAAATGTTACAAAGTATCATCCCAAAGTATACAAAGCACAGGAGAAAAGTATAGAAGGTATACATACCTTATAATAAAAGCGTACAAACAAATATAGCTTATAACCCGGCCCGTTGGTCGGGATGTTCATTTTTGAGTATTTATATTTTAATGTTATGTTTAAATCTATCAACTCATTTAATTTTATTGACAGTCCTTCGATCAAGATAATACATAAAGGATGAATGTACAGGTAAAACATTCAAAGAAATACCATCATAATTTTTAAGAATATCAAATATAAAAATATAACCGTAATCCCATTTTCATAATGATAATTAAGCCCCGTAAAAATGTTATTGGTTAGTTAATTGTCAAGAAAGATAGGGTATAAAAGCTCACTTGAATTCCCACATGACCCATAGATAGTTTGAAACCGAAACCTCACAATCCTACATAAAGGGTTCAATGCTCCGATTTTAGGAACAACATGTCACTAATATAAAAAAAGGTTTGTTGATTCAATTCAATAATATACTAACAACGCAGTTAAAAGAGGACTATCAAAACTTGAGAGCAAACAAAAAAATTAAGGTTACCTCCAATATACTAATAGATTTGATCAAAGTAATAAGGCACAAAATTAGACACTCCTTATGGATCAGTTCTAGTACCTTCAACAGAGAATCGAACTTAACTTTATTAAATCAATCAATGATTCCTTATTTCAACATAAACATAGGTTGTGGTAGCTGCAACAACCATAAACCTAAAGATCCAATAGCCACCACTCTACGAGTTACAACCAAATTTTTATCCCTTTATCTTCAATCTCAAGATGCATATGTTTTAACCCAAAATTTACTTTATAATCCTCCTTCTGCAACTTTGATGGACCTTCTCTCAGTGGCCCTCAATTTCTCTTCCAATTGTGGTTCTTATCAACT